ACCCGCTGGCCTCCAGCAAATGTAAAGCTCGCCTGCCTGTGGGTTCGGGTTTAATTGAAAAAAAAAGAAAAATAGGAAAAAAGGTCTATTACCGCATTACCATGATTTGTTTAAAAAAAAAAATGCAGGACGGTGGCATACTGCCAGGGGGATGGGGTCTCTGTGGGAGGCTGCAGGTGTGCGCCAGGTGCCACCTCGCTGGGCATTTCTTCTTGTGCCCAGGGACGCAAAAAGCATTTATTTGGGGGGGGGACTGGCATGGGTCTGCGCTGAGCCCCTGCGGACGAGAAGGGGACGGGGGAAGCGCAGAAACGGACCCGGCCTGGCTTCCACCCTGCACCAGGGATGCGAGCCTGCTTGGACACCGACCCATCGCTTTAGGAGCAACCACAGCGATCTCCCCGGCGTTTGTTAGGTGGTGTAGACTGCCTCACTGCTGTGAGAATTAAATCCTGAGGTCCTTAAAACGGCTTCACTGTTTTTAAAACTTATTTTTTCAGTTTGTGAACAGAAGTGTGTGTAATGACTGACAAAACCACGGACAGTAATACAGCGGTGTACTCGAGCATGTTTTAAAAGAGAAGGTTAAGATGGAGTGAAGGAGGTTCAGTCGTTAAATGCACGCTCCTCTTATGCTGAAGAGAGACCCTAGAACTTACAACTCTACTTTTAATTCATTTTTCACTGAAAAATACAATTTATCAAAAATTCACTTATTTGCACTTACTTGAATCACGCGTATTGATATGCACAGACAGTGCAGGTAGCTCATAACAAATTAAGTTGTTTAGTGAAAATAATAAATTAAAAATAAGTCAGCAGTGTTGTGAAACACAGTCATGGCCTGAAAACCTCCTAAGTAAGAAACAAGTGGTTATTTGTGGTTCACCTAGACTTTATGGCTAAATTGCTAGGCCAAATTGCTAATACAATTGTTGAAAACAGTTACAGTGATTTATTAAAACAAATAGGTTGAAATTGTTGCCTGTGCTATTTTACTGTCCCTGAGGTGGCTACAGTCGCTAGTTTGTTTCAGTTTGTGACTGAGATGGGCACCTCCGGATTTGGTTCCTGCTTTGGACAAGTCGTCCGTCTCTACGCTTTTGCTCACAAGTTAGGCAAACCACTTTTCCAGCAAGTAACTGACAAAGTCATGATGTGCTGATAAAGTTAGGGTAAATTGCACTTAACTAATTTTGTAAAAGGATACTTACATTTGCCTTTCTGTCCAAGAGGAAAAATTATGTTTGTATTTCATCATATATACGGCAGTGCATGATAGTACACGACACTTTTTAAAATGTCCTTTATCTTAAATGGAGAAAATGAGGAAAATTGAGGCCTCAACACTTCTCTGCTGCTATTCTGCTTTTCTTTTTTTCTTGCTGCTAATTGGATCAAAAGCCATTTTGGTTACTATGGCATCCCGTGAGGAGATTACTGTCTATGAAGATGAAGTAAGGTAAAAAATCAGAACTGTGGTATGAGCAGATTTGGCGAGATATCCACAGTTCCAGTGGTCACTTATGACTGTACCTAAACTTCAAAAATTACTTAAGTGAAATGATATCTTGCCAGATCTCCTCCCCTGTGGATGTTTGTGTGCGCAGAGTTGCCTTTCTGAATGCTGTAGGTAATGTTTATGAGAAAGATTGCAGACAAATCTGTTGAAACAGGTAATACCTAAACTGGTCATCCTGGCTATTTTTCAAGTTTAAAAGGCTAAAACACTTTCTCAGAGAGCAATTAAAATACTGTATTTTAACACCTGCCAAGTAATCATAGAACTGTCCAGGAGCATCTGAATTCGAAGTACAATTTTGTAACAATACTGTCACCTGAAATGGACGTACTAGAGGTTAGATGGAGATATGTGTCTGTGTATGGTGTTTGCCAAAGTGAGTCTGTTTAACTGTCTGTCTATATTGTGTAGTGTTTTGTCATACTTGAATGTTTGAAAAAGATGAAAATATAAGCAGTTCTGTAAGCTTATTCTTTCAAGTCTCATTTTTCATTTGAAAAAAGCGACTTGCCCTGAAGCGGTAAAGTTTTGAACTATAGACATCAGTAATTGAACTCTTTCAATGACAGTTAATGTACTTTGTTGGTGTTTCTATAGGTCTCGGTACAGCCACTTAGAGAAGATGACAGATTTGGTGGCTGTTTGGGAAGTAGCTTTAAGCGACGGCGTTCATAAGATTGAATTCGAACATGGGACCACTTCAGGAAAACGTGTTGTCTATGTTGATGGAAAGGTGAAATTGCTATGTGCTCAAAATTCACTATGGTACAGATTATAAAAGTGCACTTCCATGCAACAGGCATCGGAACAAACAAAAGACTAATAAATGCAAGTGAGGTACATTCAGTTGATTAACTTTACCTAATATAATGAACTGCATCATTCTTTTTTTCAGTTACAATTAAGGTGTGAGTATTCATGAAGTGCTCTGCTGTCCTTGGGCAGAGGCACTGTAGACATACAAGATACCATGTATTTGTTCATTCTGAAATAATAGTTAAGTATTGAGCTGTTTCTCGAGTTCTAGTTCAATTTTTTTTATACTAAAACATGCAGTCAGGTTTATCAATTAATATGCATTGTCTTTGTTTCATTCTACAGGAAGAAATAAGAAAAGAATGGATGTTTAAATTAGTGGGTAAAGAAACATTCACTGTTGGAGCAGCCAAAACAAAAGCTGCTATTAACATAGATGCAGTCGGTGGCTTTGCATATGAGTATACTTTGGAGATCAATGGAAAGAGCCTCAAGAAGTATATGGAGAACAGGTCAAAAACAACCAATACTTGGATACTGAGCTTGGGTGGTACGGACTATAGAGTTGTTCTAGGTAAGTAGGCAATGAATGACTTCATGTTGCTGCCTCTGAATAAACGTGTATGCATTCACTAACTGGTAATTAAGAGAAAGCACAGTGCCATGGCTAGCGCTGTTGCAGTGTAAAATCCTGGGTGGTCTGTAAGTTTGGAATTAGATGCCAAAGACAGTCTGAAAAATAATGGTCTTGTTACACCTATGTGAGCCTGCTGCCAGTGTTCTGTTGGGGGGGGGGGGGGGGGGGGAAGGTTGGAAGGAGTTATGGCTTCTGTGTCCACAGAGCTGCCCTAGCAAGACAGTTCTCCAGGTGAAGCATGTTATAGAAGTGTTACCTGCGTTGTGATCAAACCCGGCGTGTGTGTAAGTTTGTTAACCAGGTAACCAGGCTTTCGTTCCAAAAATCATAAGCCAAAGTCAAGGACTCTTTAACTGAAGAAGTGCAACAACGTTATTCCACATTTTTGATAGATTGATCAGCATCCTTTTTTCTGCATCGCTTCTGAACTACAAATTTAGTTGAAAACCTTCAGATTACTTTTTTCATTTTCTTAATAGCAAGGCAATACATTTCTTCCCTTCTGCCCCCCTTTTCCAAATACACTACAAGTAGATGGGAGGAAGGGATCCCCTGAGGAGTTTGTCCGTGGCATCTAGTGGGACAACTTCCACTTAAATATTGCTGTATGGTTAGACCTGGAGACGAGGGATCTTGGGCTATGATTTCTTCTTAAGCTTCAGGACAGAATGATCTGCCGTGAGACGAAGGGGGCCATCGAAGAAAGACAATTTTAATGCCAGAAACAGATTAGTCTCCTCACAGGCTTTTAATCTCACTATGCTTACTTAAAAGGCAAGCAGTGTTCAGCTTTCTACTGATGTCCTGTGGATGACAGTGTCAGTAATCAGAGTTCTAGGGCAAAGTAATTTAAGGAGGATGTGCTGGGAGAAGTAAAAGAATGTTCTGTTTCCAATGAAAAAAATCCAAGGTTGATATTTAAAGTAGTATTTGGGTTTTCAAGGAGATTTTAAGAATACAAAAAGTTTGATAGATTTCAAAATAATGCTGCTTTTGAATTGAACTGACCTGGAAAAAATGTTAGACCTTCATTGAATGAACAGCATTCAAATAATTAGCAGAAATTACTTCGTTTTTCAGCTTAAGAATGTCAGAATACCTTTGACAATATTCAGAACAACCCAGTGTTAATAGCCAGGGCTAAGGAGAACTAAAAATGTATGTTCATAGCAAAAGTTTTTTGCCCATTGACGACACAGCCTCCCATCTCTCCAATATAAGAACAAACCCTGTAGCCCAGGTATTATGACTAAATAGGAACTTCTTTTGGGAACTGGAACTAACATTCAACAGTAATTTTTTTTAAATTCCTAGATCTTCTTGTTGGGGGGGGGTAATATCTTGTCCTTTCTACTTTTTGTTGGCCTTTTCCTTTACAGAAAAGGACACTATGGATGTGTGGTGCAACGGTCAAAAAATGGAAACAGCGGTACGTGACCATTTCCGAAGGCGTTTCGCAGGCTATAGCTAGATGACCAAAGCTGAGCAAGAGAAGCCAGAGGGGCACGTCACCTCACTTCACCACAGTGTGAGCGTACACCACCCAGGCAGCCAGCACGCCAGGAGTCTGTTCCGAGCGTCCTTCACTGTATTTTGTAACTGACAGTATTTCAGTTGGGACGCCAAACGCCTGTCTATTTAAGGATAAGCAATGCTTTTGTTTACACTTCTTGGACAAGCAGAGTAGATCTTCTGGGTTGGCTGTCCAGTGTTTTTAGGAAGAAAGCTTTCAGGGGAGTGGGAGGGACTTCAGTTTGATGCAGAGTGTAAGGCCACCTCATCCAAACCTGCTCGTGTTAGTGGTGACTGAACGTTGCACACGTGTAGTCCGTTACGACTCACAATTTTTTCCATCTAGAGATGGTCCCTAACACGTAGGGCTTAAGAGTCTCGTTGGAACAAATCACATCCTTTGTCTCTCTGTCACACCTGCATTCATTTTTAGAGCAGGTGGACAGCTAGAAGGCTTAATCTATTTGGTGTCTTTTCGTATGATGGCTTTCAATAGGCATACTATGTAAGCTTCCCCGTCCTTGAAGGATGTGCTTTCTCAGCCCAGAGTTGTCACTGTGATTACTACTGCCACAAGTAATCCCCTGGATGAGTAGAAACTGTAAAATCAACAGTTTTGTTGTACTTGAGAACAGGATGAAAAGATTCACCCAGTGTTTCCGCGGTAACCATTCTCTCAGTGAATCAGAACTTCTGCTCTTGATGGTTCTCAGCCTTTTCTGTAATTTAATAAATGGACCAGGAGATGTTCTTGCAAGCTACAAGTACAGGTTTAGTTGTCAAACTGTGCTTGCATTAAAGCAGCGCACAGATTTTTCTCCTCTCCCAAAGATGATGACAAAAACACAGCCGTAACAGGACACTGCATAACTGCAGCAGGAGCTGCGTATCCAAGACACACAACTGTTACACTCAATTCAGGGATCTCTCTCTCCTGCTCTAGAAGGCACCGCTGAATACCTCATGTTTTACTGCCACTTCAGCATAGGTTTGTGTGGTACTTACTGGCTGTGCTGCACAACTTGGAAGGAGACTGTCCTTTCTGTTTTTGTTTTACTGACATGGATCAATGATATTAATTCACAAACTCCAACTTTACCATTTCTGATTATGTGACATTTTGATTGTCATCTAATACCTGCAAACAGCCTTTAACTGGACACCTTGACAAAGCCCTGTCTGAGATTCTGCAGCTCGTTCAGCATTTGTGCTGTATTTGTCGCAGGTACCTAGGGCTGCTCTAACTGTGGGAACCACAAGTGATCTTGACTTTGGACACAGTCTGATGCACTCAAGCTTTGATTTTACTAAAATAGCACGTGTCTGGTTTTATTCTTGTCTTCTTTCTCCCAGGGTGAATTTGTAGAAGATGGGACCGAAACTCACTTCACTGTTGGTGATCACAGCTGTTGCATTAAGGCTGTCAGTAGTGGAAAACGCAAGGAAGGAATCATTCATACCCTTATTGTGGATGACAGAGAAATCCCAGAGGCTGTGGAGTAGCCTCTAGTTAACTGATTACTGTAGGACTAAGATCAGGAATTTTCAATTACTGTGGTAATTATTTTAATATGTACTACTTGGTACATCTAGTTTGTGCTGGGTTTATTTTCTAGTTTCTGTATATGAAATTATTCTTTCTGAGGACCAGATGAAAATAATTATATACAACCTCTACCAGTTTTTACAAAACTATATATGTATATATATAGAATATATATTCTATCACCAAGTGCAGAGAGCACTGGTGAACTTAAGTAGAAAGTATATACTAGGGAAAAATATTGCTCTAATAAAATGCAAGATAAATATTCAGTAAGACTGAATCCTTATAAACTGCAGGTGCATGTGGAGGGAGGAGGAAGCATGTGCTGGATGTTCAAGTAAGCTGTTAAAATTTTTCCCATAATTACGTTTTCTAGTAAACTGACTACCAACATTTTTCAGATGCAGTTAAGAAGAGTTACAAAGTTAATAAAAAGGTTATTGATGACATACATTGCTACCAGTACTTGCATAACAGTATTAAAATAATACTGTGCTATGAAAACTGTTCTTTATTCCCAGTAGGAGAAAAAATGTTACATTGTGCCAAAAAAAATTCTTTGAGGTTTTCTGAAAACTGATGCTTGTTAAAAAATTGTTGCAGTAGTTCAGAAACCCTGTACTGAGTTTTTTTCAGAAAACGGAAAAAAAAAATCCTGCCGTGAAACTCCTTTAAAAAATGAAACCTCTTGAAGCAAGCTAAAATAAGAGCTTATTTTTGCTC